CGATGGCGCTGAGGGGCCGATCGTACTGCATAAGACGGTCGTCGCCATCCTGGAGGAAATGGGCAAGACGAACCGTGAGTCTGGACACGATGGCGCTGAGGGGCCAATCGTGATGCATAAGACGTTCGTCGCCACCCTGGAAGGGATGGACGAGCTGAACGTGAGCTGGGTACGATGGCGCTGAGGGGCCGATCGTACTGCATAAGACGGTCGTCGCCATCCTGGAGGGAATGGGCGAGCCGAACCGTGAATCTGGACACGATGGCGCTGAGGGGCCGATCGTGATGCATAAGACGTTCGTCGCCACCCTGGAAGGGATGGACGAGCTGAACGTGAGCTGGGTACGATGGCGCTGAGGGGCCGATCGTACTGCATAAGACGGTCGTCGCCATCCTGGAGGGAATGGGCGAGCCGAACCGTGAGTCTGGACACGATGGCGCTGAGGGGCCGATCATGATGCATAAGACGTTCGTCGCCACCCTGGAAGGGATGGACGAGCTGAACGTGAGCTGGGTACGATGGCGCTGAGGGGCCGATCGTACTGCATAAGACGGTCGTCGCCATCCTGGAGGGAATGGGCGAGCCGAACCGTGAGTCTGGACACGATGGCGCTGAGGGGCCGATCGTGATGCATAAGACGTTCGTCGCCACCCTGGAAGGGATGGACGAGCTGAACGTGAGCTGGGTACGATGGCGCTGAGGGGCCGATCGTACTGCATAAGACGGTCGTCGCCATCCTGGAGGGAATGGGCAAGACGAACCGTGAGTCTGGACACGATGGCGCTGGGGGGCCGATCGTGATACAGAAAAATAGTGATGATCATCTCATGGCCCTCGGCCTGTCGGTGAGTGGTAATCGTCTCACGGCCCTCGGCCGTGCTGGTGATGTGTCAAGTCTCTCTCCTGATTGGCTGTGAGAAGCCGATCGTCTGCCAGGACTCCATCCGGGAAGGAATGGTGAGCCTGAAATAAATCTGGGCGATGTCCCTTCTACCTGATCTGGGGAGCTAATCGTCGTTCGAGGCAAAAGAAAACCTGATGTTAGCCGATCGTCGTCGGCCACTTCATTCTTCGTACTTAAGTCTTGTAATTATTCTTTACATATGTTTTTCAGTTTGTACTTCACAGCCAATAGTGCCAAGGGATAAAATCATTCTTTGCTCCGTGCTCTTCTGGCATCTTTTTCTTTTCTTTTTTTTTTTTTGGAGTCTTTTAGTCTTCGTTCGTCATTGGTCCTTGGTCCTACCGGCGTTCTTACATCGAAGATACGTTCGGTATCCGCGGACATCGCAATGAGGAACAGGTATATCTACATCGAGATTCCCCCTTTTTCGTTCGTCCCTGGTCCTTTTAGTCTTACCGGCGTCTCTTGCATCGAAGAAGACGTTCGGTACCCAAGGAACTCACAGGGATGAACTGGTTTACCCTCACGGGTTCCCGTCTTTGTTATCCCACGTCCATCGATCCATGGTCATTGTGGGATGAACAGGTTTATCTTGGCAAGGCTCCCTTGGTTCGTCTAGCCCCCTCCGCGTCTCTACTAACCTCTACATCGAGAGGCGTTCGTCTTCGGCGGTGGGAGAAGATCTGGCACACCCGGGCAAGATTCCCTTCCACATAGGAGCTACCCTCCTCTTCTCCCCATCTTTTTTTTTTTTTTTTTGTTTGAGGGAGGCAATCTATATTCTTCGTTCGTCCTTGGTTCTTGGTCCTACCGGCGCTCTTGCTTCGAAGAGACGTTCGGTATCCGCGAAACTCGCAAGGAGGAACAGGTTTATCTACATCGAGATTCCCTAGCTCTTCTTTGTCCGTCCCTGGTCCGTGGTCCTACCGATCTTCCTACATCGAAGAAGACATTCGGTATCCAAGAAACTTGCAGGGATCACGGGATGTCACGCATAATGGTGGTGGCATAGCGAACGAATATAATGACGAGGCGATGGAGATGCTGGTCGTCATGCGAAGGCGATGGTCACCCTCCTGAAGGGAGGGGTGAGCCGATCGCTAACTCAAGAAGGTCGGCATTGGGAGCCGACAAATAATGATCATAATGCCGCTGAGCAGTCGGTCCTGATAAGGAGATGACAATAGTGTCCGATCAGGCCGATATATCCGAGCAACGGCTCTCATCCACGCAGCGCGGGGATGAAACCGGTCTTCAAAAGATAAATATGTCGTGCCGAGAGGCCGAACATAACATGATAGTGTCGGTAGTGAGGGGCCGACCTGAAAGAATCAAGCAACGACCCTCATCCGCAAGGAGCGGGGATGAGGCCGGTCTTCAAATATGATAAACACGCCGAGCCGGGAGGCTGGTCGTGATGTAATGATGTCGGCAATGAGAGGCCGACCTGACAGAATCAAGCAACGGCCCTCATCCGCGAGGAGCAGGGTGAGGCCGGTCTTCAAATATGATAAGCACGCCGAGCCGGGAGGCCGGTCGTGATGTAATGATGTCGGCAATGAGATGCCGATCAAGATATGGTCAAGCAACGGTCCTCGTCCGCGAGGTGGCGGGGACGAGGCCGATCTTCGAATATGATAATCGCGCCGGTCCGAGAGGCCGGTCGTGATATAATGATGTCGGCAATGAGAGGCCGACCTGAAAAAACCAAGCAACGGTCCTCATCCGCGCAGTGCGGGGACGAGGCTGGTCTTCAAATAAGATAATCACGCCGTGCCGAGAGGCCGGTCGTGATATGATGATGTCGGCAATGAGAGGCCGACCTAAAATCCAGCAACGGTCCTCCTCCACGCAGCTCGGGGACGAGGCCGGTCTTAAAAGATGATAATCACGCCGTGCCGAGAGGCCGGTCGTGATATGATTGTGTCAGTTGGCCCTCGGCCGTGACGGTCTCCTCTAGGCCTTTGGCCTCTGAATGATGGATGATCGTCTCACGGTTCTTCGTCGTGGCAGTTCCCTCTAGACCCTCGGCCTCTAGGTGTTCTTCCTGGGCCATCGGTCTCTGAGGTGGAGATGCTCGTCTCTCGGCTCTCAGCCGTGATGGTCTCCTCTTTAGCTGGCCCTGAACGTCTTCAAGACTCGGGCCGAGCGTCTTTTAATCATTTCGCTCGAGCGCGTCGAGCGGCTTCAGCTGCGCAATAAGCATGATAACGGGCCGCACGGCCCGACAGTATATATACATAGCCATCTGCGTGGCTTTCTCTCTAACACCTACGATTACCGGCCTATGGGTTATCATGACCCTCGGCCCGGCTCATCGTGCGGGGTTAATGGACGTAGCAACTCGCGGCGGGGCCAATTAGCAGCCCGCCGAACGCCACATAGAGATATTCACCGGTCTGTGAGTTTTCAACTCAGACCCAAGTTAGTCGCACTGCCCTCGGAAAAATGAGGTTGAGTGCTTTGGTGCCCTTGGGCCCCATAGGCCACATTTGGCAATAGTCACTTCGCGCCTAGCGGCGCGGATTACATTGGGGTATGATCGTCGATCGGGCACGTAGTGCCATGCGGACTAACGTGCAACCCTCAAATTAATATGCGTCGTCGGGGCATCGCCCTACTGGAGACGCTCGGATCGCTTAATCAAGCTGATCGAGAGTGGGCTAACGGGCCCACAAGAAATTAAATATTCAATAAAATGTTGGCTGAACCAACCATCACCGGAGCTTCGCTCCACATTATTTAAATCGGGACATTTATCCCTAATAAATAATAGTGATGTAACAGGCAATAGCAATGATATTTCCCTATCAAAGGCCATTCAAGTATTCTCCGCTCGCTAATTAAAGCCGATCAGGAGCGGGCCGACGGGCCCACAACAACCAATCATTAATTAAAATGACGGTGAAAACTGATTATCACTAGAGCATCGCTCGACATTATTTAATTTTGGGAGATTTTGATCCCCTATTAAATAATGGTGATAAGGCTAACAGCAACAATATTATAAATATTGTAAACTAATTTATTAGCAAATGAGGAAGCATAGCAGTATATGTGATACTTATCTCTGCGTAGCTTGTTTGAAGTGTACGAAGTACTCCGTAGCAGCTCCCAAAAATCAGATAAGATCGTTGACTTCCCTCTTGCTCCACTCGTCTTTAATGTTAACCCCCACCCTTGCCCTTCGGACGTGGCCAGCCCTCATCCAAATAAGGCGAATCTTTTGGGGTGGAAGATAAACATCTCCCGAGCAAGTAGCGGACGTCGGCCGCTAAGCGACGGTGGTGATGTTGGCCGTAGCCGGAAAAGCCAGTCTCCGGTGGGGGATCGGCTGAACTTCGTGACCTATCCTCCCTGACCCAGAGACCTCTCAGGCCGCGTCGGTGGAGCTGGCTGGTGACGGCTCGAGCAGAGACCGTCCAGTCGGAGGAGCGGCATACGGTGGGCCACCAAGGACGAGCGGCGGCGTGGCGGCTCGGGCGGCAGAAACATCTACCGGCGACGAGCTCCCGTGTTACAGACGGAGCTTGACGGGGGTGCTGCGGCGAGTCCCGTCTTGTGCGGTTGAACCCACCGGGCACCGGCGGTTCGACGGCGACAGGGATGGTGACGGCGGCTCCGGCGACCTCGAGTAAGATCTGGTCAAAATCAGGATTTTGACTTCCAGCTAGCCAAGGAGCAGCAGCGAATGGCCCGTGGCGGCAGCGTGGTCGCTGATAGAGCTCCGGCGAGCCCAGGCTTCCGAAATTCCGGATCTGAAACTCTCGGATGTCACGGAGTTCCCCTTTTCCCAGAATCACTTTTCTTTGTAATCAGTGCATTTTCGTATGAATTTTTCTTAGAAACGAAGAACAACGTGAATCTTTTTGGACAGATTCCCACAGACGGCGCCAGTGTTGAGTTTAATCCAACACGATATAGTAAATATATGTATAAATGTGTATGAACAACTCAGTTTTTACGTGGAAACCCGAAAGGGAGAAAACCACGGGACTTTTTAGGCTAATGTCCAAGCCCTCTCATTCTCATTAGGACTCTCCTCACCATTACAAAGTACATATGTTGTAGCTCCCATTAATGGAGTATTGTAAGCTAAGTCTAAAAGAAAGGAGGAAGAAGAGTTAAAAAGGGATCCCTAAAACATGGAGGGAAGCCTCATATTTATAGGGGAAAGGGGAAGGGTGCTCTCCACCCTAATGGGCCGCATGGACCGGAATGGGCCCAAATGGCTAAAGTGGGCCAGAATGGGCCGAAACGGGCCTAGCTGCTTGGGCTCCGTACTGGATAATGTCTTCGGCTCCTGAACAGTAATAGGCCGGGATAATATATCTCAACAGTATAAAAAGGAGATGTATTGCCATACATATTCTGAAATGATGTCCCCAATTGCTGGACCTATATTTTGGCCTAAAACAAATGTAAAAGTCCACCCGGATGAGTTGAAGAATAGAATTATAAATAAATAAATAAATATATAAATAAATAAATAAATAAATACATAAAGCAAAAGAGGAAGAATATATTTATTTAGTTATTTAGTTATTTATTTATTTATTTATTTTGAGTACCTATCTTTGTGCATGCATTTTGCTTTGGAATGATGTGGTGTTTGAGTACTTATAGGTCCAACAATAAATAAATAAAGTAAAAACAAATATATTTTTGAGTACCTATCTTTGTGCATGCCTATGAAGAATAGAATTAGGGAGATTGGTGAGATTCCTATGACGGGCAAGTTAACCAAAAGAGGAACTACCATCACATGTCAACTGTGCTTCAAAAAAGGCCATAACAAGAAAGGTTGTCCTTCAAAAGAGCAAATTTTGCAAGGCACAACAACATTCCCTTTCGATTTACAAGGTGGTAATTCTCAACAACCCCAAGCAGGACCTGAAGAATCAACCCAAGATGGTAATCAGGTAATTGTGATAAAACATACTTCAATTTATTGGGTATTACTTTTCAGAATATCTCAAATGTTGCATCAAAACTAGTAACTGTAACTGTTTTAATTTCTTTACAGGAAAGTAACTCCACCTTTGGTCCTCCAAATGAGAACAATGTGCCAGGTAGTAGATTGCAGCATTACTTCACTGAAAACACTAATATGGAAGTGAGAAATTCAGACAATGTGTTTCAGTTTAGGGGGGAAAATGCAATCAGTGCTGATGGTTTGGAGGTAAACTTATATCTGATAAAGTTATATCACATATTCACAACTTATTATCTCATTAAACTTGAACTTCTCCATTTAATATTGTAAACTTATATTTCATATTGTTCATATAGAGGTTGAGGCAAAGAAAGGGCAAAGAGATAAGTGAAAGGGCCAGTAAAGGAAGGAAAAGAATTGCTGAAGAAGTGGAACTTAACGGGGTGTCAACTACTGCAAGAGACAGATTTCATACCTTGTTTGACTCTATGGAAGATGAATGTGAAGATTAGAGTTGTTCTGGCACCTGTGGAAACCCTAAGAAATATGTTTTTGCATGTGTTTTGTTAAGTTAACTACCTTTTTGAACATATGTACTCCTAACAATGATGTTTGCTTGTAATTAGTCAGTGGGAGATGTCTGAGGTATGTGAAAGTATTCAGTTATGTAGCCCAACTGTATTGTGGTAGTACAAATCTGCAATTATGCTTCTTTTTACTCTCAGAATTCATGGAGGGATTGGTTATAAATCCTTGTTTTGCTAAGGAGGGTTGCCATTGGGTTTGATGTAACTGTAATGACATTAGCAAGTTGTTTTTTGAACTTCAAATATGCTTACTTCATTGCTTGGGGGTAATGTATACCTGCCTTATGTTATATACCTATAACTAATGTGTTCCTACTTTATATTCAACTCACTTACAATAAGTTCCTTCTTTATATTTAGGCCAGGTGTTCCTTGTTAATATCCAGCCCATATATGGTTTCTTTTAGCAAGGTTCACATTCAGATTTCAACATAACCACATACTAATATCAGACTTGACATTACCTAACTTCAAATTCATATTGCACTTTATATAGAACCACCATACCTCATCAAAATCACAGCAATATCAAAGTTTAAATAAGCACACTTCAACTTAACCAGACAGTCAAAAACCATTGTTGGTACATAGATAGGAATAACAAAGTACATACTTCAACACAACCACATTTCATAAGCATAATCTTCAACATAAAAGAACTGGTTTACAATGCATTACATTACATACTGAACATCTCATAACATTAGCCTGGAACAAAAGGCTTTCCTACTGAAATGAAAACTAGGCTCTGAAGTGTTTCATTACACACTACACTTCTCCATAATTGATAACACATACTACATAACTAAGTGTTCTCATTAGACACTACACTACTACTTCACTGAGAACATGCACTACATAACACCATAATTGACATCTTAAGCGTCACAGCTCTTCTTCTCTTTCTCCTTCCCAAAACAAACCACCAGCAGTAATGCTAGGATAAATACTCCTATGATACACCAGATGAAAGGCCTCATCTTCTGTTTTTTCTTCACAAGCTTTGCCTCATCCAGTGAATGTTGTAATTTATTGATTTTGTTAGATTACTGGACTTATACTACATATAATATTCACAATATATTATTTATAGTAATTGTCCTATATAGGACTAAAAGTAAAACTAAATGCACAAATAGGACCACATCTTTTTTATTCCGTAAATAGGACTCCGGATTACCGTTATACCCTCCTATATAATTAAAAGAAAATCCTAAAAATTAATCGCTAACACTCCTCTCTCTCTCTCTATCAACGCTCTCATGGCCGCTTCACCAACTCTCTCTGGATCGGATCTCTCTGCTCCGCCTCTTCTTTTTCTTTGCTACGCCTCTTCTTCTTCTTCTTCTGCCGCCGCGTATATTTTTGTTCCCTCGATCGAATGGTATGTCATTCGTCCTCCTTTTTTATTCTTCCTCCTCCTCCTCCTCCTCCTCTGTTATTCGTCTTAAATTTCAGATCTTCTTCATCTTCTCCTCTGTTATTCGTCTTAAATTTCAGATCTGATTTTGTTTTTTCAGAAGACATTTCAGATTTCATTATTATTTTGAGTTGTGGCATCACTTTTTGGGATACTGGTCTCATTATTCTGTTTTGTGATTTCATTAATTTCATATGTCAATTAACGTCTTGCACATTGGGTTTGTGTTTTGCCAAAATTTTGGCAGTTCTGTGCAATATTTTGTTTAATTATGTTGTGGCAGAATTTTTACATCGATTTTAAATATTGCCATGTTTATGGCAGATTTTTTACATCAATTTGAAATATTTCCATGTTTATGGCAGATTTGATGATTATACTATGGCAGAAAGAACTGTTTGTGTTATGCTAAATTGCCAAGTTTAATGAAAAACTTTTGGTGTTATCTTCATATTTGTTCAATTTTCGATTTTTTCTCTTCAATTTTATATTTTAATTTTATATTCTAATTGCATTTTAAAATCTGCGTTTTCTAGTTTTGATATTGCTTGCATTTTTTGCCAAGTTTATGGCAGAAAAATGTACCTTTTATACAGATTTTTTTTTGCCAAATTCATGACAGATTTGGTGGACGCCAGTGGGCGGCGGCGGTCGGATGTGCCGTTGGAGGGCGGCGGCGGCTGGCAATGATGGTGGAAAGCAGCCACAATTTTGGCACAAGGCAGCGGCTGCATAGTTAGGCAGTGGAGGGCAGCGAAAGTTTTGGCACGTACAAGGCAGTTTTGGAAAAGATTTTGGATTTTTAATTAAAAATTTAATTAGAATTTCATTAAGGGTAATTTTGTCAGGTCAATGTATTTCTAGTCCTATGAAACATGGAAGTCCTATTTGTGCACTTGTTTATTGTTTTAGTCCTATATAGGGAATTAACTCTATTATTTATTGGGTTTAATTGTATGTTATATGCGATCTTATGTTTAGCCCAAAAAAATTAGTGGTCCTATGGATATTAATTTAAGTGGGCTAATAAATTGTCTAATAAGGTATAGGGCTCAAATGTGTAGAGACCCACAGGCTTAACCTAATTAATGATGGACTTATTAGGGTTAAGCATTCTCTATAAATAGAGGGGTTATGGTCCCTAGTTGTACACGTCATTCTGTCTTTCTGCATCCCATCGCTAGAGATATAATTCTCGAGGGTGTGTATCAACTAGAAGACGCAAACCCTAGCCTCCATCTCCCGTGTCACACCCCGGACTTATCCGGACACGTCAACAATCCGCCGTACAGTACGAATAGTCAACCGCAGTCCAACACATTCATATTATACAAGGCGTCTGGGATATCATTCACACATAGTACATCCATAAACAAACATAATGTAAAATATTCATTCAAAGCAGCGGAAACATTTAATACAAGTGTTTGTGCCACACTTTGGCAAACATGGGCATACAAGCCCCCAAATGATTATTCAAAAATATAATATCCATGAGCATTAATTTAAATGTTTTTAAAACAGGAACGGAGGAAGCACGAATCACGTCTTCCTTCCTTGAATTCTCCCGGAGCAACGGGCACTGGTAGCAAGCTCAGCTCCTACCTGAAACTGTGAGGTGGCCTCCCCCGTGAAGGGGAGGTCAGTACTTGGAAGTATTTGACAAGTACAATGACAACTATACTAAGTATAATCAATGTTTTAATTTCCAAGACCCTCAACCAGGGTATTATCATATCATAGTTAACTTTGTTCGTTTAGTGTCAATTCATCGTTATTTACCACGGTCTAGAGCCCAGCTCAATAATCACCGTTATCTACTACGGTCTAGAGCCCAGCTCAATAATCACCGTTACCTACTACGGTCTAGAGCCCAGCTCAATAATCACCGTCATCTACATCGGTCTAGAGCCCAGCTCAATATTCACCGATATCTACTACGGTCTAGAGCCCAGCTCAATAATCACCGTTATCTACTACGGTCTAGAGCCCAGCTCAATAATCACCGTTATCTATATTGGTCTAAAGCCCAGCTCAATAATCACCGATTCTTTACTATTCCATTTCTTAGGATTCATTCATCTATTATTCAACTACAAAACCAACTAATGTTTAATTACTAGTTATTTTCTCATTTCAATATAATTCTTCATTCAATATGTAATTTGGCCTTAATATCAAAATATCACTTTTATCCTTTCATGGCTTCTTCTCATGAAATAAAAGCATATTTATCACAAATGGGATTTATGGTTGATACTACTACCATGCCATCATATCCATAACATTTAAACATACACAATTTATTCAATAAATTTGTATATTATGCAAACTGTACTTATAATCAATAGTAATTTCATTTAGGCATTATTAACCATTAATAATCCATGAAAATCACATTGTATATTCATTTAGGAAATCTCATGAAATTAACCCAAAGATTATAAGCAATATAGTCGGTCATCCTCACCTTAAGTGAGCTTACGCGCGTTCTATGTTTCCCGATTGACTTTGACTAATTCCGGCGAACTTCGACCAACTCCGGCGAACTTTGACCAACTCCGGCGAAACTCCGGCGAAGCTCAAAAATACTTTAATCAAGTTCCTAACAAGGTTTTAACATCATAAAACCTTAATCAATACAAATAACCTATAAAAGGTTATTTTCCGGTTAAGTCCGTTCTTGGACTTAGAACCACTCTCCAACCCATTTTCTACATATTTGAATATTTAGAACCATAACAAGGTTTCATCTTATGCTATATAATCATATGGTAAAACAGTAGTAGAGGAAAAGTTAACATAAGGTCTTGGTAGAACCTTATTTCTTCCCACTTTTCCTAACTTCTTAACTCTTTAATCTTCCTCCTTGGACCCCTATTGTTTGAGCTCTCTTCAAGGATGGAAAAAGAAGGATGGAGGTTTCCTTTGTCTTGGTTGGGTTTGTGCTGGCCGAGAGAAAAAATGAGGGAGATAGGGTGAGGATTTCCTTTTTGGCATTTTTGCCAAATGAGTGAAAATGGGTCCCTTAAGGTGTCAAGCTTGCCTCTCCCATCCCCTCAATGGCTTTCAGCCACTCTAGCATTCATTCAGCCCACCAAAGTTTGACAAATTCGTGGGTTGGCCCCCACTCATGTGGGAGGTCACCCCTTTTTGTCCAGAAGTGTACAATCGGTCCCGAAAGTTGTATTTTTCGTACAATTTTAAATATATTTTATTTTATCGGGTCATATAAAATATTTTACATGTTCTTAATCATTATAACCCTTATAATGAATATACATTTCCCCACTTATATTTATAAGTCTCCGAAATCCCAATTTCGGGCTTTTAACTATTAAATTACCAATACCGGTATTTGGGCCTCTTTTGATCAATCGGTCAACTCTGGGCCTTTCCATGGCCCAAACAACATATCCACCACCATATAAATATTATCTAGACCAAGATGAATAAAATATATGGTCTCGGTGATACCGGGCGGTCCCCGCCCCCGGTGTGGGCCCCACGTGCGAATTTACTATTCACGCAAAAGAATTAATAAAATTCACAACTTCGTATTCTCATTAACCATTCCACAAGGTTCAATACATTATCCACTTAAAAGTAAATACATTTGGGGACGGTGTTACATCCCGGATCTCTAAAGATCATCTCCAATGGAGTCAGGTACGCTTCCGCTCAGTTAATTCTCTAGATAATTCCAATATGAAGATTAAAGTATTATCAGATTTATTCCAACA